ATCGACATCAACATTTTCATAAATAAGTTACTCATATTTTTACATATAATGGATAAAAAGTGATCAATTATAATTAATGATTTCGAGGCGCACCCAAGCGCTCGCCTCAAGCGAGAGGTGAGGCGATTTCACCTAGGTGCGCCTTGTAAGGTGGCCAAACGAGTGCCTTGAACTGGGCGCTCGCCTTGGAGTGCCTCAATGCGCCTTTTAGCGCTTCTCGCCTGAGGCAAGGCGATCGTTTCGTCGAAGCGAGGCAATCTGTCTTATTTTTTTTTTATAATTTTTTATTAAAAATATGTTTAGAAATCCTCCCTCCCTCACAAATTATCCCTCCAAACCCTAACTTCTCAATTTTCATTCTCTCTGCCTCTAAACTCACCCTCAATCTCCGACCATCTCTGTCGTTGCTATCTCCAATCATCGCTGTCGTCTCCGATCATCGCAGCCACAGCCTCCTCCTCCGACTTTCGAAGGTTTCTTTCTTTTTTTTTATTCTTTTATCTTATTCCTTTTCATATCTTTCATTTCACACAAATTCTTTCTTGAATCTTCACTGTGGCTGTTCTTCACTGTGGTTGTTTTTTTCATATTACATATTTCCTTCAATTATAATAGAATGACAAAAAGTGGAAACAAACGTAAGCATCCCGGTTGGCAATACGTCATATTGGCGATGATCCAAAAGATACAAACACTTGCAAATGCATGTTTTGTGGAAATTTTTCTTAAGGTAGCATTTGTCGAGCAACACAACATTTGGTTGAGGGAAATAGAAATGTAAAAGCATGTTTGAAATGACCAACTAATGTGAGAGATGAATTGAAGGAGTATCAAACAAGATCAAAAGCAAGAAGGGAAGAGAATAATGCCCTCCCAAGGTATGAGAATTTAACTTTGATTGAAGAAGATAACGAAGATGGGATGGAAGTAGTTGGTGGTAGTGGTAGTAGATCAACATCAGCTTCAACGAACAAGCAAATAAGAACAAACACAACAAGTGATAATGCGAGTAGTATGGGTGGGAGATGAAGAGGAAGTGGTGGAGGAAGTTGTAGTAGCTCCTATAATCAATCACAATTAAAACCACCGAGATCAAAGGGGCAAATGGATAAATATGTTTTTCAATATCCTGGTAAAGTTGTTGATGATAGAAATAGATTGAAGAGGTAAAAGAAATAAACTATTTTTTAAAAATATGATAAAGAGAGGAGGGATATTGTAGTGCAATTGATCATGCATTGGATATATCAAGCACGTATTCCTCTAAATACTGTTCACTAAAGAAGTTTTAAAGTGATGCTAGAAGCGGTGGGGCAATTTAGTTCTAGTTTGTTACCTCCTACTTATCATGAAGCTCGAGTAACGTACTTGAAAAAATAGGTACAGTACACAAAAAATCTAATGGGCGATCATGAGGCAGAATGGAAAAGAAATGGTTGTTCGTTGATGTCAGATGGGTGGACTGATAGGAGGGATATAGGACACTCATCAACTTTTTAGTTCATGCATCTGTTGGAACGATGTTTTTGGAATCCATCAATGTATCTTCCTGCATCAAAACTGAAGGAAAAAAATTTCAACTTTTAGATGGCATGGTAGAGAACCTTGGACAAGAAAATGTTGTCCAAGTTGTGACAGATTATGCCTCAAACTACGTCCTAGTTGGAAAGCTTTTAGAAGCAAAACAACCTCATCTATATTGGACACCATACGTTGCTCATTGTTTAGATTTAATTTTGGAGGATATTAGAAAGATTGATCAGGTTCAAAGGTGTCTTAGAAAGCCCGTGGCACTTAGTGGTTTTATTTACAACCACTTGTATGCGCTAAAAATGATGAGGGAATTTACTAATCAACATCAATTGGTAAGACCAATAGTGACTCGCTTTGCAACCTCATTTTTAGGAAGATGTTTATTTCTGAGAAATGATCCACCTCTAAATGGGCGAAGGACCCAAAGGGGAAGAGAGCAGCTGAAACTGTTATGATGTTATCCTTTTCGAATTTAGGGATCGGACCCTTTATTTCTTGTGTTGAGGTTAGTCGATGGTGATAAACCGGCTATGGGTTATATTTACGAAGCTCTGGATAGTGCAAAAAAGGCGATTAAGAGTGGTTTCAATGTAAATGAGGTGAAGTATAGATCGATTTGGGAGATTGTTGATAAAAGGTGGGATTGACAACTTCATCAACCTTTATTTGAATCCACTCTTTTCTATGACAACAAAGAGAGAATTATGCAAGACCTTGAGGTCATGGACGGTTTGATTAAAGTTGTGGAACGATTGATACCATCTAGTGAAGACCAAGCTCAATGTACAATCGAATTAGAATTGTACAATGAAGCAAAAGGAATGTTTGGAAGTGGTGTAGCAGTAAGGATGAGGAATCTTAAGACACCTTTTAATGACATTATTTATTACTTTTAGTTTTAATAGACATATTTAAGTTTAATATGTGCACAACTGCATGATGGTCTCTTTATGACATTAATGCTCCAATTTTACGAAAGTTAGCAATGGGAGTCCTTAGTTTAACGCGCAATGCTTCTAGCTGTGAGCGAATATGAAGTGTTTTTGAAGATATAAGTGAAAATAATTTGATTTTTCCATCGTTAGTTGAAGATTTAAAATCCACTTTTGATTCTAAATTCCTTAGTAATTTTGTAGATTCATTCCAAGAGGAGGAATAGGTTATAGCAAAAGCGTCATAATGACTTGGTTTATGTAAAATATAACCAAGCACTTAAAGAACATTATACTCTACAAGACCAACTTGCTCCGATTTATTTGGATCATATTGATGAAAGTAATGAATGGTTGATTGTAACACTCGAAGAATAAAATATTCAAGATGAAAACTAGTTGGTCTTTGATGATGAATGAAAACTAGTTGGTCTTTGATGATGATGACCTCACATGAGGAGATGTAGCCGAGGCTAGTGGTGTTGGAGAGCCCACAAGGCAAACTAAATCTACATCAACAAGATCAAAACGAAAGTCACCTGCTACTCCCACTCCCACAACTTCTAGACTTCAAAAATCAGTGCCAGTAGTGGTTAGTGGTGATGATGATGTCACTAAAGAAGAATAAACGAAAAAGGAAGATTGTGAGGACGTCCAAGATGAAGAGAATTTAGATTTAGATGGGATGATGATCTTTGATCACTTGCATTTACTTTTAAAATCAAATCATTTAAATAAAATCAAAAAAAGTAATAAAATCAAAACTTTTTCATCATCTTCTTTTCTTTTTTTGATTATTACTTTTGTTTTATTTCTTCCCCTCTCCTTATTCACTTTCTCTCAATTTTTGCTCTATCGCTATTTTCTCCACAATTTTCTTCTTTGACTCCTACCGCATTTGAAGGAGGAGGTAAGAATTGGAGTTTGCTTGCAAAATGGTAAGTTTCCATGTTCTTGCCGAATAAAGTAAGTTAATGTACTTCGTCACATATTTTTTGTACCTACCTATGTTCCAAGTACAACTTTAATTCTTTCGACATCATTTTTGGAATATATTTCTTATCTTGTTTTATTTCATCTTGTTTTTTGTTTTCCCCATTGCCAATTTCATATTATGGTTGCTTGAATTATTTGTAAGATGCGATTTTATTGATTATATTTCTAACATGTTCATTTAGATTATGTGTATGATATTTGGCAAATGTAAATATTATGTAATATTGTATAATAAATGTTATTTTTCTTGATTTTATTAAATATCTTCAACTCAAATTTTACAAAAGCGAACCTCCCAACGATGGAACCTTGAAATGTTCGGGAGGCCGATGTTCTTGGATTCTTGAAGGTAAAGATCAATATTTCGGGAGGCCAAGATTTGATTTTTAATATGTTTCCTAATGGAATGATGTATTTTAATTGTTTTCTCATATATTGTTTGGTTTTAAAAAGTAATTGAAATACTAATACAAAATTGTTTGCATTTCTTTTTCCTAAAGCAAATCATATTTTGAAACAAATAAATATTTTTTCTTTAAAAAATAATAATATATTTCGTTTTTTTTTTTTTTGTAAATCTTCTTTTATAAGAAAAATTTTGCTAAAAAAACATTTAAATGATAAAAAAAACATCTTTATAAAGACATTTCCTCCTAAAAAGTTGACATTTTTTAAAGCACTCAATATTTCTAAAAGTCAGAAATAAAATCTTTTTCTAAATCTTATTTTAATATTTTCCTAAAAAAAATCCTATGATGGAGATTGGAGAATTCGAGAGGTCGACCCTAATATTCTTGAGGTGATAAATTTATTTTGGGAGACCGATTTAAATTCAAATAAACAAAATTTTCTTAATAGCTTTAGGCCACTCATAATTATTGTCCATTATTTACCTTACGAATAATGATCAATAAAACATGAGACTTTTAAAAATAAAAATAAAATTCTTTTTTTATTGGTCATTTTCTTGAAAATAATGTGAAAAAATAAATTAATGTTCATTGAAGGAGTGTTGTAGGGTGCTAATACTTTCCCATACACGAAAGACCTCCGAACCTAAATCTTTTTGTGCAGATCAACTTATCAATGCATTTGGGTACCGAGTCACACCCTATAAATAAAGACGGGTGGCAACTCCGTTTTTTCCTCTCGGGAAGAAAGTCGATCGCTCCACGTCGCAAACTCATAGCCACATACGTTTTATTTTATTTTTATTTTTTAAAATTTTTTTAGAGACGACCTATTAGGTTTATTAATTGCTTCTCTTATTTCTTTGGTTATTTGTAATATTTAATATTTAAGGTTTAATTTATTAATAATCATACTTTAATTAAAAAATAATATTCTTAATTTCTCAATAATGTTAGAGAATAAATAGTTAATTTATCGATACCAAATTAGTGTATAATATTCGACATATGAATAAAATATTAATCAATATCTAAAATTTATAGCTGAATAACCAAAATTACGCATTAGAGTCTATCAATCTATCTAATGTGTCTCACATGGGAGAGGTCATCGATGACGATGTGGCTGTCAACGAGGAGCTCTCAATGTCTCTGATGTTTGTTGATCCTCAATAGGGTTGAGGTATTGTCCATACTCTCCACGCCCACATCCATCACCATCATAACCATACTGTACTGGTGTGTGAACATGGCTCGAACTAGGAGTCGGTATCATAACCATAGGCGTGCATGGGCCAACATCATTTTGTGTCTTTATAAAAGGTGGAACGCCATCGACATTATGATATATAGCTTCAGGTTCAGGAATGTTAGGCTCGTTTGGAGCATCTTGCTCTAATTGACGACGTCCTCTACGCGTATGGCTGTGAGTAGGTATAGGTACTCTATACATCTGATGAAGCCTTTGAAGATGTCTCCCACTATACTAATTTGTTTGAAACACGCAGCCTACATAGAAAAAATTTAAATAAATATATATTTAAATTCAAATAGTTTGTAAGCCAAATTAAAAAACATACAGTAGCACCAAACATTGCTCCTTCTTAAGTGATATAACATCTAGTAATTGACAAATATCAACTTATGTATCTAGTATCGCAATTACCATCATCGTCCACCAGAGGATTAATAGTAATATAATCTCTACACAGGTGTCACCTGACCACATAAGGTGTTGTATGGTCCTGCCATGTCCGGTGCTGAAGGTCTATGTCATGTATCTTTGGGTCCCAACTAGGAACATCTGGAATTGGTTGTTTCATACCAAACTACCTTGCAAGTCTATCTGACTGATGCCACTCAACTACATGAAAACAAATGAGTGGACTTACTATGCACCACATCTCATGTAAGGATGCAAATTTTTTATTGTATGGTTCCCAAGAGCCTGATGAGCTTGATTGAATTTAGAGTAAACACAAGAATGTTGACCTTCATACTTTGTGATTTCCCAGAGGTTATAACATTTGTTTAGAATTGCACGGAGTCGCCATTTGCATTCATCGTCCACTTCTTGCATCTAATTACTCACTTTGAGGGTGTCGACTCTACAACTGCATATGGGTGGTGAATTTCGTTGTTTGTTATCTTTGCATCTAAACCCCTTATACAACAAATCATGTTCTATAGCCACTGGTTTAACGATTGGATCATGTTCTGTACTATTCATGATATTCATTCCCAAGTCGTTGAACATGTCTGAAGGGATATTATATTCATGACCCTCGAAATCCAATTGATCAAATTCATCATCTGTTGGAGTTCTCAATTCGACAGAACTATTTTCAGTAGGTAAGTCTATATTCTCATCCACATTATCACTTAGGAGAACAATTGGTTCAGGCTCAAGGTCCTCGTTGAGACATTGGCTAGGTGTGTCATTGACTATGTTTCTAACATATACAAGTAATTCCATCATCTGTGGGGAGGGCAATGCAATTGAGAATATAAGCTCTAACACATAGTGGTTCGTAAATTTGAATAAGAATGAACTTAGTTAATCCTGAAGGTGTGAGAAGTAGGGTGTCTATAAACTATTTATAATTCATTGTCACTCACATCTACGTTCAATGATATTCCAACAATTTCAATAAAATGTCTAAACTCAATACCACATTAATTGTGAAACCTCCACATGGCGGTCGATCATATTCAACTCCATTTACACCTTCCACCATACAACCATTCATATACAAAACAGCTGACAAACCTATCCTAAAACAGAATAAACAAAAGTTAAATTTAGTAACTAAATCTAATTATACAAATTAATAAAAAAATAAATTAAAAAGTTTTAGTTAACTAATTAATAATGATAACTTCTAATTACCAAATAGTTACATTACCTAAAAAGATTTTAAATCTAACTTTGTTAAAAAATGTATACACTAGTTTAATTCTAAATTTATTAATGTTATGTAATTTATTTATCAATTTAATGTAATTATTCTAAATCTTTTATAATTAACATATAATAAAAAAATAAAAACAATAAAATAAACATTGGAAAAAACATAAAATTGTTTATATATAAAATAAAATAAAAACTTAAAATCAATCTACTAGAAACATAAAACGACAAAATCAATATAATATATATACATATATACTAAAAAAACAAAACCAATTATGATATGAAAGAAAATATATGGTCCAAAAAAAACACATAAATAATAAATAAATAAATAAGAGAAAAAACTAACATTTTTATGTGACAAAGTGTCCCAAAAATACTAGTTAGAGTTGATTCTAGTGATCCCTAGAACCACAAGAATGGTATTAAAAAACCTAATTATTGCAAAAGTTAACTAAAAAAAATCAAATACTTATCAATACAGGCGGCGGCTGGAGGGAAGCAGCGTTGATCGGTGGCCGAAGCGATGCAATAGTGATCGGCACGGTGAACAGAATGGGGCAGATATAGGGAGAGAGAGAAACAAAACACAATGGGCGGCAACTATTTCTTATTTGAACCCACGTAGTATGGTCTCTCGAAGAGACGATATGCTACGTACTTCGTAAAAAAAAAGAGAAGAATTGCATGGCGAGTCACGTGTTTAAAAACGAATTTGGTCGTTTCTTGAGAGACGACCAACTTTTATTTAAAAAAATTAATGCGGCGCAAGCGCCACGTCAGCAGGAAGTCTTTGAAGAGGCGACCTTTCAGTGCCACTTCACAGAGAGATGACCTGCTATTTTCCAAGCATTATTCTTGGAAATAGTTTGGGAACTGACATATATTTGAAATAAGTTTTAAAATGAGCATTATTAAAAAATTACCTACTATTTTGGTATTGATTTTTTAACTATGTTTACTATATAAATTTATGCACTATATATGTAATTTTTATTTATTTGTTAAGGTGCACCTCACTTCACTCAGGCGTCACCTTTGTATCGCCTCTCGCCTTAAGGCGATCAAATGGCTTGTCACCTTGAGGTGCGCCTTGCGCCTCGAAAGCACTGATTATAACTTAATTAAACTACAATTAATGTTTCATTTACTAATTAAAATAATTTTTATTAATTTTCACAATTTCTGTAATTTTTCCCCAAATATATGTACATCGACATGTCCGTAAAATCGAGACCTTGACAATTCTATCAACATCGACATTTCGAATCTTGGTGATTCCTTAAAGTATATCCAAGTCCAATAAAGAGGTATATTTTCAAAATTCTTCAAAAAAAATTTGAAGAATGGTATCATTGTTATTTACAAGATTTCATTTACTTAGCATAATTTTAGCATTATGAAAAAAAAATTGACGAATGTTATTATTTATCTCTCCATTATTAGACTCTGTGGTTGATATATACAAAATTTCCTTACTTTATATTTATCTGTTTCTTAGTTTAGTATTAAAAAAATATTATTTTAAATCCTTAGAATTTTATGCATCTTATGTACATTAAAATTGAAATTGAAGACTCTTTCCTATACGAGTATATAATATATTACCAAGTAAAAAAATAATTTACATTAGTAAGCATAAATTTGGTATATTTTAAAAAAAACTACTACACGAAGATATGTGTAATGTAGTATTGTTTTCTTTTCTTTCACTATTGCTCTACCTGGTTATATGTGTGGATTGATTCAGTAACCTTTGGTTCAAAGATACTAAAGACTGTGTAAGCCAAAAATTTTCTCAGTTGACATTGGCCAAATCATTTGTTTACAAACCTTGATTATTTAGTTCGTATATTGTTAATGCATGCAGTTGCTAGAAGAATGTAAGGAATGGGTTTCCTCGATTGATACTTTTTAACTACTGTGCTTTAATTTTGCATTGCTTGCACTTCAGTGGGAAAGTTATTCATTTTTTGTATACTTCTTCGTTCTTTTACATATATTTTCCTTGTTTGTTAGTCAACTGAATTTTTGGTAAGTTTAGGCTTCTATTTTAGGCATATACAATGTAATGTTGTTTAGACCATACAAGTTTAAACAATACAATCTCGTTATAGATGCAAGTGTACATATAATTTATATGCATGAGGTTATGTTTAGGTTATTTTTGTGTACGAGTATATATTATATTACCTAGTAAAAAAATGTAAGTTAGCAAGCAAATAATGGTATATTAAACAAATTACAATACACGATGATATTTTTGATATATAGGAATATATTTGAGTTCTCGGGTGGATAAATTAACATGATTAAGATGAAAGGACATGCTAAAAAGAAGAGGAGTAATAGAATTATAAATCAAGCTTCCTCTAAGTCTTGCAACGAACCTGTGTTTGTTAACCTAAGCTCGTGTGTGGTATGTATAATTGAACCAGTATTAATATGATTTTTATTAGAATTTTATGTATTTAGGGATTATAAAGAAATTTTGAATGATATTTTATACAGAAAAACAGTAGTGACGAGGAGAAACATGTTAAGAATGGGGGTTTAAATATTACACCAATGGTGTACATCTAAAACCTAACTTGTACTCTAGGCTTTTCAGAAATATGCCACGCTATGACAATGTACCTAGGTTGAACTATCGAACAATGGCGAAACAATTGGAACTCAACTTGTTTCGTATTCTGGATTGGAGGTACATGTGTAAGTTAGTATTGTTTTTACAATACAAATTTGGATAACTAATCAAAATGAGATATTCAAGATTGAAGTGATGCTCCTTATATTGAGGAGATAATTGGAGAAGAAAAAAGATACAAAATGATGGAGAGGTATAAGGAATCAATTGAAGAATGTGAGGTATGAATCCCATTTAAATTAGATATGTTTTTCATTATTAGTATATTTAAAATATATAATCGTGCAGGATAATGATATTCCAATTATTAAGAGGCTAATTAAAATGAAAGAAAATGCATTTGAAAAAAAGAAGTTAAGAATGGGACAAAGATGATGAAACAGATATTAAACGAGTCCAAAGAAGAGGTGATTGCTAATTTTTTGTATTGTTTTGGATTTTTCCAAATTGTAATTATTTATTGTTAATTTCTTTGCCTTTCAGACAATTGACCATTTTGGAGGTCAAAAGGGTAGAAAAAAGGAAAATATGCAAGAGGGGAAGGGGTAAATCGAGTGGAAATATATGAGGTGTATTATACTTTAAAACTAGTTCAATATATTGTAGGTATATAATGATGTTAATTATTAATAATTTTAGGATACGTTATTGTAACTTTCGAGGAATACATGGTCCAATAGCCAAAAATTACAAATATATGGAAAATTAGAAGTATGGCAAGCTATTAAAAAGAAATTATCAGACGAAGATATTAGGATCTTTCGGTCTACATGTTTTGGACAATTCTTAGATGTGAAGATGAAGAAATATCCTATTTAATTACTTAGTCATTTGAATAGAAGACAATGTAGTCCGGCGCCTGCAGATAGAATTAGTTTTAACTTAGAAGGGAAGGTAGTACACTTCGAAATAAAAGAACTCGAGCATATTATTTGTTTTAATTGTGGTGAACTTCCTTCAAAAGACTTCAAAAAACTAAGTTGCAGATTTTTGGATAAATATTTCCAGAATGAAAAAACTCCTGTGAAGAGGGATACAATTAAAAAAAATTAATGGAATGGACCAAGTTGAGAAAAATGATAGAGTCAAGATGGCTAAACTTCTTATCTTGTGCCAATTCATACTGGGGAAACAAAATGAATAGGTATTGAAATTGAATACATAAAACTCCTTGATGAAGATGAACAATTTGAGCAATATCCATGGGACGTGTTTCTTTTTACATAACAATAGAGTCAATTAAAAAAGCCATAAAAAATCTAGATGCAACGATTGTTGGTTTAAATGGAATGTCTTTCGTACTGTTGATTTGGGCATATGAGTGCATACGACTGTTATATTATGAGAAAACCCCATATAGAAAACACATATCTTCTGAGATACCTCTAATGGTTAATTTGGAGGCTGACGTACACTCAGAATGGAGGGAGATAGCAATGTTTTTGAGAATGAAGATGTAAGTATTTGAGTAATTATTGATTTACTGTAACTACAAAGTCTTCTTGATTTATATTAATAATATTTATTTGTTCAATTGACGCAGTTTGAATTTAAAACTATGTTTCAAATGGTTGAGGTTATAAAAAATAATGGAAAACAACTTATGGTTAATTAAGGTGTTACATCGAGGAGTAGGTTGTACAATGAAGAAACCCCTGAGAACAATACAATTCCTACCTTCTTTCTAGAATTCCAAGAGATGGTATTAAAGAGTTCCGAAATAATGAATAGCAAAATAGATATACTATTTTCAGAGGTAGATAGTATAAAGAAAATTGGTGCATGAAAATAGTAATGTCACCGTAAGAGTTATGAAGAGATAATGGATGCAGTGGTGGTAATGGAAAGTTGAAGGATGGGGACGTAGAGACTTGGGAAGATTGGAGGACAAACAGTTGATGGAGATGCATCATTGCTTAAAAATGTGAGTATATAAAATTATTCTAGTGTCCATGTGTACATATGTTTAGTTCATTCCTCAAATTAGGGATGTTTAACTTATACATTTATATTTTTGCAAGGAAATGAGAGATAAGGAATTAGGTGCAGATAATGATTTATTGAAAGATGAGGTTGTTAGCCATCAATTCTTAGCTGGAGTGGATACTGTTTATGCAAGGATATGCACAACAGTGTATTTCAGATTGCAGCTCGAACTCGGCCTCCGGACCGATCTGAATACTTGGGCGGACCTGCACAAAAAGGTGAGCACTC